TAGGTTCACTAGGTAAGAACTTTGAGCTGACCTTTGTTGGCTCATCTCCTGGTGAACATCGAAAAGTTGAGCAGTGGTTTCTCAACAACACTTGCATCAACCGCAACCAACTAACCGTCCGTGGGTATTGCTGTGATCCAGAGGAACTCAAGATGATGTTTTATCAGTCAGACTTGGTCGCTCTACCTTCTCGTACAGAAGGCTTTGGACTAGTTGCACTAGAGGCTATATCTGGGTGCATTCCTGTGCTGGTTTCTTGTGAATCTGGTGTAGCTGAGGCATTGAAAGAAGTAGAAGGCGGGTGTTCTTTTATCATGGAATCAGATGGAGATGCACAGGAATGGGCACAAAGGATCAGAGAGATGTCTGAACTAAGTGCAGAAGAGAGAGATGCCAATGCCGTAAAGCTCAGAGAGAACTACAGGAAGGTTTACCCTTAGAGTAGGGAATGTGCAAAATTCAAAAGAATGCTTGAAAATGTTTTGAGAACTGCAAAGGGTGAGTTAAATGCATAAAGTATACAAAATTATATCATTCTACTTTTATTACATCTAAATTCTAGTTGCCCCCTCTTTCTGTAAGTAGGTGCATTTGCTGAGATTTTGGGCTATGAAGCCAAAGTTTAAGTTGATTTGAACCACACATTAAGAAATATTGAATACTGGTAGATGAACATGTTCATATCATTAAGGACAAATAAATCCTGCATTGTTATAATTTATAATATACCTGATTTGAAGTTGGCCTTTGTCTTTTAACTGCAAGTATGCTGAAGACTTTTTCATCTTTGCTAAGGCCATTCCCATTTTTTAAATGTAAACTTAAATCCTTTTTAAAGCTATAAATTCATGGTTTTTTTGTTTATATTTTTGTTTTTTTGTTTTTTTTGTTTTTGTTTTGTTTTTGTTTTGTTTGTTTTTGTTTTGTTTTGTTTTTTTTGTTTGTTATAGGTTTTAGGAGAGTTTTATTCACAGGTTAACGTCTTGAATCTCCCTTTCAAATTTACGTAGTCATATATGAGTTTGAATAAACATGTTATGTCACATAAAAATTAATGTTCTGTTTCCCATCACCTAGTACGTATCCTCTAGTTAAAGTTAAGATTGGTTGGCTAAGCAAAAAAGAAAA